ATATATCTATACATGCATGACATAAAATTTATAGGAAATTAGTAAGCCATGAATAGTTTAATTACCTCAAATAATCCTGTGGTCTTACAATATAGTTGTTATTAATGAAATAAATTCAAACCTGGCAAGAGGGGCTTTTTAACCTCCAATATTATCTAGCTAGCTAAAAGTTGGAATATTGGCCACACCTCATCTTCCAAGTGTAGACCACTTCTAGACAAGTCTTCAAAATTATTATTGCCGAGCACGGTTAATGAGGATTCCATCACTGGAACGTGGTGTGTGTATGTTTCTTTGAATCTGAGAAACAATATGAGGTTTATGGGTTTCATCATCAATCATCATTACATGTCATTTTTTTAACTACGTATATAAAGCTCTCTGTATATAAGTATGGACGATACGTGACACTTACAGATCATCATCACTACGAAAAAAAGGAGGCATTTCCCGGAAAGTATGTAAGCACTCACGCTAGTCGCTAGAGAATAGAGAGGTCTTCATCGATGTGTGAAGCATAACAAATATATATATTCTACGGTTTAGCTGAGTTTTAGCCTTAGGTGTTGTCTGCAGAATGTATGTCAGATCAACGAATCTCTAGCTTAACTAGATCTGGTGAATGTTCTAATAATCTGTACGTACTTTGTGCCTGTGTGTTTAAGAAGCTATAGAAATAATAGAAACAATATGTTTCCATTTCAGTTTCGGTCTCCTACAGGAACATCCTAGTGGATTAATTATAGATATTGTACAGTTAAGCACTAGAATTAATGTCCCTCTAGGGTTTGAACTTTGAAATCTTACAGCAGCATATGTAGTGTTCTTGGTTCTTTGTGTCCTGTGATCAGTAGACAAGGCTCACTAATCATAGCTGATCTTATCATCCCCCAATCATAGTTTTATTATTAATTAAGTTCTTGAAGCTGCGTACCTTGTTTCCTCATAGGATATATATATAATATAAACAATATCGACGTGTTCGAATTTTATTTATCTGCTACAGAACTTTTTAAAATCCCATATCCCATGTGCTTGGTCCAGTCCACAAAACATGTTCAGAGATAGAGAGAGAGATGAAAGATCCATGTGTGTGTGTGTGTACAAGTGTATATATTTATATTTATTGATGTGTGTGTCTATATTTATATGTATGGCATCATATGTAAGAAACAGGCCATCACAAGTGTTTCTCTTCCAACTACCTCGATCTGAGTATGTAATTAATTTGATCTCTGAAGGACACACACATCCACAGACACACTAGCCATACATACATACATATATATATATATATATATAGTTTTTTTTTGGAAACTATCAATATAAATATTTAGATCATTGAATGGAAACTAATGAACAGTCATTCTTCGATTTATTTTGGTTGTATCTGAAAATGCACATTAATTCATGAATGAAACATCAAGACAAGCTAAGTGAGAATACTTGAGTGAGAGCTGGCATTAATAATTGCAATTATTGACTGATGAATGGAGCCAAAATCACTAGTCTTAAATACTTTTTATTTCAAGTGGTGACAAACATGTATGGCTTGTATATGTATAATAATATAATTTAGCTGAATCAGTATGGAGCTTTAGTGCATAAGTTCATGAGCTAGCCAGCACAATTTCAAACTTGTGTAATGATTAATCCGAGTCACTGTTATTTAAATAAATTAACGTCCAATGTCTTCTGGTCAGATGGTGAGCTATTAGATAGGGACACTTAATAAGATAGAGATTAAGTTTAATCATGTTCATTAATTTGGTCTAGTCAAGGTGGATTATCCTGGCCAGTCTGCAATGCCAATTTTAGAAATTGGATGGAACGGAACACTGCATGACTTTCAAGTTTGCTTCAGACCTTGTTAATTATAAGGTTCATGACTAGCTTTTATTTTTTGGTATTATTGTTCGTATGATCATATCCAGGATCTGTCAGGGTTAAGTTCTTTCCTAAAATTATTTTAATGATGCTATATATATTTTAAATTTATATCATTTTGGTGTATCATGCGTGAGCCTCTGGATAACTCTTAGAATCCCATGACAACATTGACAAGGACTATAATTATATGTTTCTTAAATATGAGTACATATGGTGGGGAGAATGACACAAAAGGACCCTGGAAGTGATGCTATGTTGATGGATCCATTCTTGTAAATGGTAGTAGTGGATGTGGTAAAATCATTTGAGACCATCAAAGAAACTAGATGAAAAGATATAGCTGTAAGCTTACAAATGTTCCGCTTGTGATAGCAGAATTACTTGCTATCATTCATGGATTATTTCTTGTTGGAATGATGGCCTATGTATAGTTAACATATGTTGTGATTGCATTGAATTAATTATTTTGATTGTTAAAGGATGTGAACCTTCACACTCCTTTCAGGATGTAATAAGAGATGTTCCTTTTTTTGTTTCACAAGAATTCAAGCATACTCATTCATTATGTTAGTAGAAGCTCTAATACCTATGTTAAGCACCTTGCTAAGATATCTCAAAGATTAGTTGTTAGCTTTTATACTTTTGATCTTCTCTACCTTTATCACAAGAAGCGGTGGATGATGAGAGTGATTTAGTAGGTTATATATCATTAATGTAATCTCATTTTAATTATGAATGCATTTCTTTAGTTTAAAAAAAAGGATCTTGAAAGGAAATTAATTATTTTAAAGGATCATAAATTTTTTAAATTACAAAAAATGACTAAAGTTTTCAAAAAAGAACTAATGGACAAAAATACCCATACATGCATGATTGACACATAGCTTGGTCACAAATATCTATCTACAAAGGAAATATAACAATTTAACTTCAAGTAATTTGATGCTCTCTTATTTTTCTAATTTACAATTTTATAACCATTAATTTATAAGTGAGAATTGTCATGTTATTTGAAGGGCTTACTGCTGATCTATTGCTTAATTTTGACGATCAAATCACTAAAAGACCTTCAGCCCTTGTTTCGGTAAATCTTTTAATTTTAATATTGAATTAATTCAATCATTTGGTCCGGCTCAAATTTCATTTCCCTTTTATAAATTCAAAAAGTTTAATTTACAACTCATTTGCAACTAATTTTTCATTATTTATAACTAAAATTCAAACTAAGGTTTAAGGATTTACAGAACTTCTACAATTTATAAGTCATTTGCAAATCTTTCTAAATTTGTAACTAAACTACGTGTCAACCATATAAGAGTATTTTTTTCTATTTAATTTTTTTAAAAAATTGGTCTTGCTCTGTAATTTTAAGAATTATTCATGGTTCTTCATAATAATTAATTTTCTTTTATCGTCCTTATGCGTCATTCTTCCTATATGATATATGGGCCGTACATGGGCTTCTTAGGTAATATCTCTCATTTTATTTAGATATTTTATTTTAAATTATTTTTAAATTTTTAAGTTTAGAATTTTATTTTTAAATTAACCTATTTTTGCTATATTTTTTAAATTAACTGTTAAAAGTTAATTTGAATCTGATTCCCTTTTTAATAACCAAATTATCCAAACAATGCATAAATGATGTATATCTTTTAAGACATGCACCAAATTTTATTCGGACATATGCACATAGTTATATTAATATATGCACTAATGAATAATTACTAAGAACATCTTATCATAATAAGATAATTTTTACAACATAAGCGCAAATGAATTCGAATCAATTAAATGATGACTTATAATGATTTAAAATTTAATAGTCTGGCCTCAAGATCTTTTGTGGATTTGATCCGGGATTCAGTCAAGCGACGAATCTCCCTCTCCGCTTGATGGAGCTGTGCGACAAGGTTGAAGAGCTCATCCCTAGAGCTAGCAGGAAGGGTGAGATTGACATGCCTTTGGCGCCACTTTCACCCTCCCCTCTGCATGGGGCCATCATCATGCTGAGGTTCTCTCCCCACCAGAAGTGAAAGCAAAACCAAAAAACAAGAATGAGAAAATGGACTCGCGACCCACTCCCAACCAAAAAGCCAACTAAAGAGTAAGCGGGTTACCGACTTGCGTTTTGTTCAATTAGTTGAGAGAGTTGAATCAAGTTATTTTAGAGTTTTAAATTCAAATCATGAAATGTGCAACTGCATTAAATAAATATGTCAAACTCAACTAAAGTTTATCTTATTTTAATGAAAACAAGATTTAATTTCCTATTTCAAAGATTCAGACTAAAAAACTTTTATTCACTCACCATATATATATATATATATAATATCCAAATTGCACTTTAAAAGAAAAAATATAACTTTAAATCTCTACACTTTGCTCGAATTTTGCTATTTTGAATAGGTTTTTACACTTTTTGTTAGTATTTTAGGTTCATGTAATTTTTTTTTTGTTCTGAGGGTCTTCATGAGCGGTGTTATAGAGATCTAAGGAATAGATAGAGAAAAGTGTAAGGATTTAAAATACAAAAAAAAAAAAATCAAGTTCCTATAACAAAACTAGAACAAAATGTAGGGATTTAAAGTTATATTTTTCTTAAAAAAATTATATGAATTTCTTTGAGGCATTTAATTAAGAACATCCAAAATAAATAGTTATACAACTGAATACATAACTACTGATACACGACCAACTTAATCTAAAAGTAGCCGCAACTACCTTATATATATCTTGTGGCTAATTAATTAGATGCCGATATACCCAACACTAACATATTATGTCCAAGACAAGATCTAAGATGAAAAATTCAACTATATCCCCATATTAATTAAATTTTAATATTGTTGATAATGTGTTTTGTGCGTGTATATATATGAAGTGCCTTCGTGTTATTAATTTTTCTACGCCGTGGACCGACAAAGGATTGTATCCGTGCCATTAATGAAGGGGACAACCTCTTTGATTCCCCACTCATCTTGCAGATACATGTGTCTCTCTCTCTCTCTCTCTTTATGATAACATCTCTTCTTCACTCATAATATTACTCATCTGTGTGCTTCTCTTTATACTGCACCAATATAAAAAACCCTTGTATATATCACCCTACTCACTAATCTCTTTCTTTTCATATCTCTCCGTTCTGTAAAGTAAAGCATCGATCTCCCTCTCTCAGCCACCATGAGTTTCCACCCAAATACTTCTCTTCACTTGAATATCCCAGACGACAATAATGCTCCATTACTGAATCTGAATCTTCTTCTTGAACCTTCCTCTTCTTCTGCTTCTTCATGTTCAATTACAGCTTCCAATTCCAAGGAGCCCAGGATTTTCTCTTGCAATTATTGCCAGAAAAAATTCTACAGCTCTCAAGCTCTAGGAGGTCACCAAAACGCTCACAAGCTTGAACGCACCCTAGCCAAGAAAAGCAGAGAGCTACTAAGCAGTTCGATTTCTTCCATGGAACCTTATCACAATAACAGTGGTGGATCGGCAGGATCGGACCACCAGCACCACTTGAGCTTCAATGCATCGAACCATCTTAGCAATTGGGTCAGGTCGTCGCAGGAGGCGCTGGGCGTGTTCGTGAACCAAGGTCACGGCGGAAGGACGACGAGAGATTTTAGCTATGGTTCCAAGGAAATTGTTCAGGAGGATATTAGCCAGCTTGACCTCTCATTAAGGCTGTAATGAAGTTCATGATATGTGGGAAAAGCGCTATTGATGATGATGATGTGTGTTACCTTTATTATGGTTAGTACTTACTTGGCTTGTTTGTTTCTATATTGTAAGCACATATGGGAGAATTTTATGTATTATTGAAACATATATAAGAGACATATTCTTTTAGAGATGGAGAGACGTTTGGTTGAATAAAAGCAAGCAACAAAACAAAAGTAAGAGGCCCCATAACACAGGTTATTCTATTATATATGATGATCGATACATATGTGTGGGCTTTTGGTTTTATAACAGTTCCATTCCACTATACATAGTTTTAAGGAAGATTCCGATAAGTCACATTTGGCGTTAATAGGGTAATAACAACAGTGAAGACGCACAATAATGATCAAAGCTTGAGGAGTGCCCACAATTGCATAGTTATGGAGTCATGTGGAGATGGTCGGTCATTGCATAGGATCTGTTTCCCTTTCCCCTTGCAGATACAGCATATCAACTATATATAGATCCAACCACTAATGCATTATATATATAAATACACACACGAGAAGTGATTGGTGTATATATCTGACATGCTTACGTACATGTTCATGCAATATTTTGTTCAAAAATTTACTTCTGCATATTTCTCTCTTTTAATTAATTAATGCATTAAAGAACCAGAACTTGATTTATTGTTGCAGCTGCGAGTTGTGGTGTTTAATCTCCTTGTCTCTGCTCTCTGTGGATAAGCTATTTATCATGTGTTTGCTTTGAACCCACCAAATATAGGACCACGTAATTCAGAGGTGTTTTAATTTCAAGCATGCTCATGTGAGCTCTTTGAAAATTCAAAATTCATTATTAATATCTGCTTCAGGGAGCTATCAGAGTTCTTGAAAGCAAATAATTCTTGCTTTTGGGAGTTATAATGAGTCTTTTACAAAAAGAAGTTGTAAAGGAAGAGGAAAACAGGTGTCAAATATAATAAGCCTAAGCTAAAGTTAGATATCACCAGCAAAATTCATCTGGCCAATGAAATAATGGCCTTGAATGAACTCAGCAGAGTCATGTTATACTTTTGCCCAAAAGAGTTTTTTGTTGAATTACAAAATATCAATAGATATACTAGATGTTTTCATGCATCTAATTAAGTTATCTTATTCAATATTCTACAACATAATATCGTGGATATAGAATGAAAAATCATGAAATTAAATTTTAAGGGAAATAACCATGGAAGTGTCATGGCTATCGACTGGGTGATGTTTTAGGGTCAGGCTTCTCTCTTGATCTTTTCCAAAATGTGCACATAAATAAACATGCTTTGTGTGTATTTGAAGGGATAAGACCACTTGATTATGATATAAAATTTGGACCACTGCTTCTCTTGTAATATAAAAAATATCATATGTTTACAAAGGTTGAAAATACAAATTAAAGTGGCTACTTTGACAACAAATTTCATGATTCTAAATTATTTGAAAAATAATTAACAAAACCGGTTAAAAATAGTTTGAACTCATCAAAAATTTTTTCTTTTACATCTCTTAATTTTTTGGAAATGAAATTTTTTATATTTATTTATTTATATATATATATAGAATTTAATCATTAGCTTTGTATAAAAAATTGTGTATATATATATATTTTAAATGCATATATTTATTTAATTATAAACTATTATATATCGACACCTTATATATATTTATTTATTAATATGATCACTCCAACGACCTAATTAAAATAATTGCAAATATTAACATTTGATATGAAAAAGTGTGAAGTTAAAAATATATAATCAGAAGAGGAAGCAGAGAAAATTGAATCAAAAGGAAGGAAATGATCCACAGAAGATGCATGCTGTAATCCCTTAATTCTGCTGTTTTCACACAGTAAGAATGGTAAGGAAATGACAGTATTGTGTGGATATCAAATGCATCCAATTTCAAATAGTAAAGTTACTGAGCCAAGACATATGCAACAAATTTAAACCAGACAAGGATTGTTACCAAGTACCATGAAAACCCTCATTGTGGGTACGACATGGTCGGCCATAATCACAAGTTATAGGGATAGTGCAAATATTAGGTGCCTCTTTAAGGTTATAATCCTAGCTAAGCTAGTCCTCCATCACCACTTGATGACCCCCCCTCCCTCTCTCAGTTTAGTTTCAGATAATAATAATCTCATCATCAATCAGATTATCTGTATTTCTTCGTGCTTCTGTGGTCCATCCATTAGTTCTTGACTATAAGACTAGAGCTCCAATACGAGTCCTTCATGTGGGGCACTAATAATGAATGTGGGAGAATTCTAGCTATATAGCTTAGACTTGAGTTCTCTTCTTTACAGCTTTGGGTAAAAAGGAAACAAGTCTTTCTTGTTCCTGTTATATATATAGATGGCAACATGTGATTATTTAGATATAGCTTGTATATATGTGTTTTAGTTTCTGCAACACTATAACTTGAAACTTTTTTGTTTCTGCTAAAGAATGATAATCTGTTGAGTGAAACATCAGTAACGAAACAATTCAACACGCAACGGCAACTACAAGGCCAATGAATCACGTCCCTCGATGATTTTGCTTTTCATGAAGATTATTCATAAAGCTGTATCTCACTAACATGATATAAAAGTCATGACGACTAATAAGTGGCTTCTATTTTGGTTAGTCAGACTGTCATTATCATTTTTTCTTCATGCCAACCAATTTTTAGGAAGGCATGTTGAACCTCAATTAATTTGGATCGGGTCAAGTTAAATCACACAGATGTAAATCTTTTTTTGTAGTGAGTTTCTCTATACATAAAACTCAAATTTAAGACCTTAGCTACAGGAAACAAACACAGCAACATTACCCATGTTTTATAGACGGTCCCAAACTTGAATATAAATGGAGAGGTGTGATAGGCTATTTTAATGTAAAACTTTGTCAAATTTCACATCAATATAAAATGCAATTTATATAGGTGATTTTACTTAGTGAGATAAGACTCGTTATTGTTGTTGTTATGAGAAACAAGCATGGAACCACTTGAACTAGCTATTATTAAATATCTGTCATTATCATTTTGTTGGCAAGAACCGTGTTCAATGCATGTTGCACGGTGTGAAGATAATCTAGGCTATACGATTAACCATTTTTTTCCTATATTGTAATGTACCAGCCGATATTTGGGAAAATTTTACAGTACTGAGTATGAGTACCATTAATCTCACTTTTGTTCCATTATTATTATACTCTAGTTGAGCATTGGGTTTTCAGTTCTAGAGGGTTCTAAATTTGAATCCCATTGAGATTGGGTGCATTTTAAGTTAAAGGAGGAGAATAGAACTAAGCTTTTTCTGCAATCGAAGAGCCCCCAGCTTTTTTTATTGGAAAAACACTACAATTTTTTACTGCAATAAAATAAGTTTTTTTTATTTTTATTAATCAGTGGTCTTAATCATTATGTTATATTTTATTATGGGCTTAGGCATTTATTTATCTTAACCCACAATTCAGAGAATACCGATTAACCCATTACCCATATGTTACATTCGTGGGCTGGCTCGTTTAATATTTTTTGGTATGGGCCTGATATTTTAACTGGGCCTGTGCACCATCCATATCAGTAAACTAGAAATTATTGAGATGGGGAAAAAAACCATGAAACTAATTCACATATGACACGAGGCTCCAATCTACATCACACAAGTAAAAAGTGTAGAGGTGCGATGGAGACCCTTAGTAGAAGGTTGGATTCATCTTGATATTGATGGGACTATCAACTTCAATAAAAATATAACTTATGATGGAATCATACGAGACAATAAAAATAATTGGATCCAGAAATTTTTCAAATACCTCAACTACCAATTTAGTACCACAACAAAATTTTTGGGCATTTCAAAGAAACTTCAACTTCGTTGAAATGTGCGGTTCAATAAAATCAACATACACTCTAATTTAGTGAAAGCCCTCTCACCTATCTAGCATAATTTCCATGACAACTGTCCTCTCTTTGAAATTATCAACAAAGTCAAAGAATTTATTATAAAATATTAAATCATTACCTTCAACCATATATTTAGGGAAGCAAACAGATATGTGAACATGCTCGCTTACTAGACCTCTCAAGAAATCCAAATTTTATTATTTTTAACCATCCATTGTCAGAATGCAAATCCATCATAATATGACCTGATTTTTGTTCATCTTTCACATGAGTTTTTTGTATTCTTGTATTAAAAAATATTTTAAATTAATAATTAATAATTTAATTTTTAAATCTTATCTTCAATCGATATGAATAATCTATAAGAAACCTTATGAAAGATGGAACTCATTTTAGATTTTATACGAAGCTTGACATCCACAACTAGTTCTTGACAGAGTTTCTTACTTCATTATTTGTTTAATTTTTTTTCTTAATCAAAATAGCTCTTTCATTAGATGGAAACTTATAGGTGCCTATTAGAGTTATCAGTGTACCATAAACAAGAATAGCGTATCCTTGAAAACTTATGTTGGTCAAAGGAATATCCTTATAATCTGACATATTTATGAACCATTTTCTCTGGAAAATTAAATTGTTCAGGATAATTCAAGGTCATTTTCTAAAGAAAAACATTTTTAAAGAATCAAATTACATCAGGTTCAATTGATTACGTTACATAGCACCTTTCTATAAATGGCTCAGGCTGGATCGTGCACATACCAGAAAATCAGGCTACTTGCACAGCTCTAAGTAAAGAGGAAATTTGCTCACATGGTAATGGGAAAATCACTCCAATATCGTTTGTATGGATTTTAATTATCAATAAGTCTCATAAAATACATAAAATGCTTTCAAATTTCAAATCATATCTAATTACAACTTGGCAAATAAAAATGACAATGTGGGTGTAAGTTTAATATCTAGTTATCACTTTTCTTTGTTAAGTTATCATTTTTTTTTATTAAATTATAATTATACATAACAATATGTACATTTTATGAGATTTTAAAGTAATTAAAATTGGGGACTTCTCAGTAATTTTTCTATAATTAATCAAATTCTTTTTCTATTTTTTATTAATTTCCAAGCTTCATTATCATTTTATTAAATATGAAATGCCATCCGAACTCACAAACATCAGATCAACGTTCAAGAAAAGAATACGTACACAGACAAATATACATTCAAACTTGGGTA